TCAAATGTCAGTTTGACTTTAAATTAAAACTAAAGGTATTATAAGGGTATTAAAAGGGCTGCCATAGATAATCCTATAAATCAACGATTAGCGATTAACAATTAACGATTATTATTTATTAGATTTAGTAAATATGTTTGAAAAGTTTGTCCCAAAAAAATAGAGACAAAGAATAAAACAGCTTAATAAAGATATTACTCTTGCTCTAGCATTTACGGGTACAAGATTGGTTGAGTTAATGAAGAATCTACTCAGCGTTACACACGATTTTGTATGTCTAGAAAGTTTTTCCAAAGATTCTATTTTAAAATATTTAAAGTAACCTACGTCAAGTAGATACTTGACGTACATTATAAGTATTAGGATGGAATGCAAGAAGCAAACTTGGGTCAAGTTCGACTTGAACTTTACTTTGTAACCAATAGTGGCAGAGTATTTTGAGGGGAAAACCCATACTCTGTCGCTATTGGTTGCAATGTAAAGTTCAAATCGAGCTTGACTCAAGTTTGCTTCTTGCATTTCAACCTTAAATCGTGTAATCTTAATACAACATATTTCATCAATGTTCAACAGGTTTTATAAAAAGAAAACATAGCTTTCTTTTGTTTTACACAGGGGAAGGTTGTGTAAGATGAGCGGGTTCCTAAAATGGTATAACCTCTTTTACGGGAAGACTAATGTTTATTATGAAAAGCGCCTTTTTTTTAAGTTATTCTCCGCAGAGCTTTATTTCAAGAGCGAAAGTTTTTTTCAAAAAATAGTATCGTTATTTTTTTTAGAGATTGGAAAGATTCATTTTTGTTTTTTTTATGGTTGAGATTTTTTTTTTTATGGATAAGTATAGTCCTTGAAGATAAAAAAAAATTTTTTTTATGCGATTATTTTTTTGTTATTTTGTGTTTTTTTGAGCTCCATTAAAAAAAGCTCATCTTAGGAAATTGGTTTCCTAAGATGAAATAATTGGGTATGTTGAAGATAACGCAATTTTTGGTATGAAAGTTTTTTTTAAAAAGAAATTTTCATTTATATTCTTTGAGAGGAAAGATTAAATTATCATTATTCTTAAAAAGTATATATCTTTTTGTAGTCTTATGGGAGCAAAATGAATTACACTGAAAACATGCTCAACTTACGCAACCTTCCCCTACAGATATTATTAGAACAGTTTCTTCTGATTACTTTAATAATTGGCATACATCAGTTTTAGGCAATTGTTATATACAATCTCCTCAACATTTGCAATTATCTTGAAACAAACAAAGACACAAATTAAAGTAATTAGATTAAAAATTATTATTTGAAATATAATGAAAAATAATGAAAGCAGCATTTTCGAGTTTTTAAAAGTAATTAAACTTGTTAATCAACTTCCTTTTTTTATTTTGTTTAACAAATGTCACTTAAGAATGTCGTTAATTTTGCCACATTAGTATTATGTTTGTTTTTTGCCACATTAATATTATGTTTGTTTTTTGCCACATTAATATTATGTTTGTTTTTTGCCACATTAATATTATGTTTGTTTTTTGCCACATTAATATTATGTTTGTTTTTTGCCACATTAATATTATGTTTGTTTTTTGCCACATTAATATTATGTTTGTTTTTTGCCACATTAATATTATGTTTGTTTTTTGCCACATTAATATTATGTTTGTTTTTTGCCACATTAATATTATGTTTGTTTTTTGCCACATTAATATTATGTTTGTTTTTTGCCACATTAATATTATGTTTGTTTTTTGCCACATTAATATTATGTTTGTTTTTTGCCACATTAATATTATGTTTGTTTTTTGCCACATTAATATTATGTTTGTTTTTTGCCACATTAATATTATGTTTGTTTTTTGCCACATTAATATTATGTTTGTTTTTTGCCACATTAATATTATGTTTGTTTTTTGCCACATTAATATTATGTTTGTTTTTTGCCACATTAATATTATGTTTGTTTTTTGCCACATTAATATTATGTTTATGTTTAATTTTGCCAGATTATGATTATTTACTCCATATTAAAATTAGTTTTTTTATTATTTTTTTTTTTATTTATTATAACGTTTTTTATTATTATTTATTATTATTACTACTTTTATTATTATTTGCTTTATTTATTGCAATGTTTTATTTATTATAACGTTATTATAAACCCTCTGACTCTACAATTCATACATACTAATAACCTTGTAAAGTTGAAAGGAAATACTTTATAATTATGAAATACTCGAGTATTACATGAAGTTAGTGGTGTTTTTACATGAAGTTAGTGATGTTCTTATTCACTTCAATCAAGAGTAATAAAAATGAAGAATTTTTATAATTCTTGATTGAAAGGGTTAATTTTAAGTCTTAAGTATTTAAAAAATTTAAAACATTTGAACATTTTTTTTAAGTCACTACAGCGAATTGTCTTTAGAAGGAACCAAACTTACAAAAGATTCATAAATTATAAATAGAAGGGGAGTAGGAGGGAGGGATGTGTGTGAGTAAGAAGTTGCACAAACGTCGTTGATTTATTGCTTTCTACTTTATAAAACTTGTTATTTGCAGTAAAAAGGAAATCCCTCTCTTTTTTATACTTGTATAATCAATACTGCCTCTTTTTGTGTGGGACTGATTTTTTAATTCTAGTCTTCGTTTTGCTTATGTTGGTCTTCCTTTTTAGTTTTGTTGTTTAATCTTTTAAATTCGATACGTTAATATCGTTTAATATTAAAGTAATTTTGCCGATACATTTATTTTTGTACAGATATACTTCCTATTTTGCAGGTGCTTTATTTTAAAAGTCTTATAACGCACCTACTATTTTTTAAAAACCGACTTGGAACTAAAATGCTAAATCCCGTGACAATATAATTAGAATTATTTGTAATATTCCAATTAGTTTTATATTGTAACCGTATTGATTATATAATAATCAATACGGTTTCAAAAAAATCATTCTACTGACCATGCAATAATTGAATTGGTTAAGCATATATCAAATGGATTTAATAGTGATTGCTATACAATAGGGGTTTTTATTGATTTATCTAAAGCTTTCGACACAGTAAATCATGAAATTCTTTTGAAAAAATCAGAAAACTATGGTGTTAAAAATCAAAGTTTACTTTAGTTTAAAACATACTTAACTAACAGAAAGCAATTTATACTTAAAGAATCAAAAGACTCAAAAAACAACTTAATAACTTGTGGAGTACCCCAAGATTCTATTTTGGGACCATTAATGTTTTTACTTTATATAAATACTTATATTTATCATCAAAAGTATTAAATACTATCTTATTTGCAAATGACACTAATTTGTTTTATTCTCACAAAGATATTACTGTTCTTTTTAAAATATTATACAAGAATTAGATAAGATCAACGAGTGGTTTATAAATAACCGACTATCATTAAATGTAGAGAAAACAAAATTTATCATATTCCATAAACCTAGTAAAGCCGAGAATATTCCTCTTAAACTACCCAATCTTTTAATTAATAATAAAATAATTAAAAGGGAATTGACTACAAACTTTCTGGGAGTGCTCTTAGATAAAAAATTGTCATGGAAATTTCATATTAAATATATTGAAGGTAAGATCTCAAAAAATATTGCCATGTTATATCGAACAAAACCTTTTCTTAATAACGAGTCTTTAAAAAATTTATACTTTTCGTTTATACACAGCTATCTTTCATACTGTAACATTTCCTGGGGCAGCACTAATCATACTAAACTCAAAAATATTTATAGTAAACAAAAACATGTTTGCAGGATAGCATTTGGGGCAAATAGAAAAACACAAGGCGAACCTCTCTTACGTCAGCTTGGAGCTTTAAATATTTATAAGCTTAATATTCATCAAGTAATGTTATTTATGTTTAAAGCAAAACTTGGGTTTTCTCCAGTAACATTTCAATCCTACTTTAATGAAATCTCCCATAAATATCCAACCAAATTTTCAGTGAATAACTTTGTTGTTCCCATAAACCTTCTTAAATTTAGTTCGTACCATATTCAATATCGGGGACCTTTAGTTTGGAAAAAATTTCTTCTAACCTTTAATAAAAAACAAAACTTCGTTTTAAACTGCACTTTGCAAAGTTTTAAGGATGATTCAAAACGGCATTTACTGAACATGGAATTCAATATATTAGATTTCAAATACTTTTTGAAAACAATTTAAAGGTTTAAACTAAATCACTTAAAAATATATATAATCTTTAACACTTTCTTTAGCTTTTATTAAAATGGTTTCAAACCATTAGTATAAAAGATAACGAAAATAAAATTGTCTTTTTTGTTCATATTTTTGATGACATTACCCAGCAAACATGACACCGTTGAATCAACGTTGAAAACCGGTCGCAAAAGATGTTGCGGAAACGTTGACAAAGTAATCGATTTTGCAAAGATATGTAACGTTGTTAAAGAGACGTTGATTAAACGTTATAGCGTAACGTTGAAAAAACGTTACTAAAAGACGTTACAAAAATGTCGCAACTAAACGTTGAAAAAGCGTTACTTAAAAAGCGTTGCATAGGCGTTGCAACTTAACGTTAAAAAAACGTTACTTGAAAAGCGTTACTTTAACGTTGTTAAAGCAGTTGATTTTGCAAGGATTTGTAACGTTGGTAGTAAAACGTCGATTTAACGTGACTCAAAGACGTCGAGTAAAGGTTGAAATATAACGTTAAATCAACGCTCAAATGCGCTGGAGAAAATATCGCAAAATATTATTTACCGTGATTAAACTTGGTTATAATGTATATTCGCAAATAAAACAAAGTTGTATGTTGAACTCTGCACTTGCAATATTTCCAAAGTCGATTTTTAATACAAATAGTAATATACAATGAAAAACATAAAAAAATATACAATTTATAGAAAATTTACAATTTATAGATAAAAATATAAACATCTTTTTTAAGATTTATGTGTGTGAGTGAATTTACAGGATTTACGTGTCTGAATAAAATTTATGTGTGTGAGTGGATTTACAGGATATCGTATCGATAAGCCAGGATATCATTGAGATACAGAATCTAAATCAAAAAATAAAACTTGTATCATTATCAATCTGAAAGCAAGTGTTTAAAAAATGTTATTGAATTAGTATGATTATTATTAAATTTAAAAAGTAAAAATAAATATAAATATATATATATATATATATATATATATATATATATATCGAAAAAACATCGAAAAATTACTCTAGCTTCCAATACTAAAACTAATTTTCAATTAAACACATCTACAATGTGTGCTTCAGAAAAGATTTCCATCATAGTCTTTAAAAAGAGTTCTCCAGAACTATTTACAATTTTTGCTAAACTTTAAATAAGTGCTAAATACGTGGTTCCAATTTTTCAAATCTCTAGAAAACACTTTGACCTCTCCTCTCCTACGATTCTTTTTCACTTTGTTATTAGTTTCTTATAATTTTCTATGAAAAGGTTTTGAGGTAATTAAATTACTTCTTTCTAACTACAGTAGTGAAGTTATTCTTGAAGGCCTACCCTCTTTATTTCAAGTAACTTTAAGGTTCTATATTTGTTCCTGTAATATTTTTTATCTACAATAACAATCATAATGAAATCTAAAGTGGCTCTATTTGCTGCTAACTCCACTTTATACTCTTGTCTTGACAATAAATCTTCACTTTCTAATTGCTTAGAACAAGCAGCAAAGTTTAAATCTGATCTTACTTCTGTAATAACCTAAGGCTTGCTGTGTCTTATGAATTTAAATTCTGGACTTAAAATCCACAATTTTTGTTAGACAACAAAATTCATTTATTTACTACAAAAAAATATTGCAATATTGTTGGTATTACTATATTGACATATAAAAACCTTATAATTATTATAATATATTATATAAATTTAATAATAATAATAATAATATATAATAATAATATATATAAAAATAACAATAATATATATATATATATATATATATATATATATATATATATATATATATATATATATATATATATATATATATATATATATATTATAATATATATATATATATATATATAAATATATATATATATATATATATATATATATATATATATATATATATATATATATATATATATATATATATATTATGTACTTCGTTCATAAGATGCAAACCAGTTAAAACCAAATCATTCCTCGATCTTTGATCCACCAGAACTTTACTAAATAAATTTATACTGGTAATCTAACTACCACAAGTCAAAAAATTTAGACAGTATTATTGAAATCAGTTTTGGCCAATAGTTAATATTAGATTTTTTTTTATTCTTTACTATATAAAAAACAAAGAAAAGTTAAATCCGAAGAGAAACAAAATTATTCACAAACATAATTACTTACATTCTTCTTTGTATGAATATATAGTTTTTATGTGTATACACATAGCTGTCATGTTTTGAAAATGTTTACAAAAGAGACTTGGAAAAAATTTTATACCACTGGATATTTGTCCACTAAAATACCTCTATTGACTAAAAAAGTATTTTAATAATTTATTACTCTGACAACAACTAACTTAAAAATGTCCAAATTTGGCCACTGACTGAGCTTAAATTTATTTTTTATAGATATACTTTTATTTGTTTTTGATTATGTTGAGCAATTTTTAACAATCTTCAACCATTTTTCTTAACTTATAAAATGAAAACAATTTAAAAAGTTAGAAGCTTGGTGTATTTTAAGTTACTAATGAGGAAAACAAAGTTTTTAGATTATTTTTAAATGCAGGTTGGAGATAAGTTTCTTTTTAAAATTCAGAAAACTCCTGCCAAATGGGAGAGACTTCAAAGGTCTGTATACAGATACTTAATAAAACTAGTATACAAACTCTTAATAAAATAATAAATAAATGTTAAACTATATAAATATTAAATTCCTCATAAAATATCAAATTCTTAAATATTGATAATAATTCTTTAATAAAACTTCCAAACCATTATACCAACTTTTATATTTTTCAATAAAAATGACTAGACATGACAATATTTTGTAATTTAAAAAAAAAACAACATGTATTTATTATACACACAATATGCCTCTCTTATACATATATTCATATATTTATATATATATATATATATATATATATATATATATATATATATATATATATATATATATATATATATATATATATATATATATATATATATATATATGTATGTATAAGTGATAATTTTTAAATAAGTTAAAAAATTTATTCTGTTAACTAACTTAATTTAGTCTGACTTATTATGTTTGATTAATTTTGATAATATTTTATAAATGTGAATCGTATTAAAACTAAGTACTATTTCTAACTAAGAAATAAATATTTAAAAAAGTTGAGCATTTTATTAAAATCGTCAACTTAAAACAAAATAAAGCATTGACAAAAATAATCTAAATAAATCGAATTTACCCTGAGATTTATATACTTTAAATACATTTTGATATAAAATCTAAGTTTTAAATTAGTCGCAATAAAATAGACTTTAAAATATAACTTTATTAAAAAAAATTTTATACCATATGCATGCATTCTATCGAGTTTTCCTTGCCTTTCCATTACGGCAAATTACTTTTGTAATGGCTAGTTATTGAGACAATAATTTTCAATGTGCCACTTCATTGTCAAAACAACGTTTTATTAACGTTGGCAAAGTAACACTTTTTCAACGTTTTTTAATTACCACATTTTCAACCAACGTTGAAATAACGTTGAATAAGTGTTGTTTTTCAAATAGTTTAAATTCGTTGAAAAAACAGCTAATGTCTAACGTTGATAAACCATTACCTTTGCGACGTTTTTACTGTGATTATTTGCGTACTTATTTTCAACGTTTAATAAACGCATTTTTTTGAGAAGATAAGATACGTTTAAATTTATACGCTTACTCAACGTTGAAAATGTAACGTTTAAAAAGCGGTTTGTTTTTAACGTTGATAAAGAATATACTTCGAAACGTTTTTAAAGTGGCTTTTTGCGTAAGTTGATTCCACGTTGAATAAACGTTTTATTTTGAGAGGCTAAATTACGTTACAATTTTAACGCTTATTCAACGTTTCAATTTACCGCGATTTAGTATACAAAAACAGACATTGATTCAACGTTGAAAGCACGTTGTTTTTGTGACTGTAAGGCTTTTTCTACGCTGCGACTGGTTTTCAACGTTGATTCAACGCTTACATGTTTGCTGGGTAAATAATCAGCCCAAATACTTATGTTTACATATATTGCTTTTTTTTTAATTAAACAACGCATTTTTTGTGTGTTTTTATAACTTTCACGATTTTCTGTCGTTTTTACTTTTTTATTTTTAAAATTGTTCTGCTGGAAGATTGTTAGCAACAAATTATTTTATTGCTGAAGTTTTTTTGTTTTTGTTTTTGTATTTATACTGTCTTTTGTCTTTTATCATTTATTGTGCATGTAAATTTTTGTGTGACGGGGCTCAGTGATAAGACAACCTGTCTTCTTTTTGCTCCGGCCAGGATTTTCTTTTATTGTAATTTCTTTTTTGTCATATTTATCAACGGTAAAATAATTAAATAATAAAAAAATTTAAATTTTAAAATAAAAAATAATTAGTAAGCATCATAACAATTTACTGACACCAGGGTAAACTGTTAAGTGCTTGTTTTATATAAAATGAATCCTAAAAGCCCTAATTTTTTGTATGTGTGTGCGAGGTTGATAAGGTACTCCCAGAAGCCTTTACGGTATTATCACAGAGCACTGTGGATGTGAACTTACGCGAATATTCGCTCAAAAGATTTTCATAAAATTAAAATTTTTTTTTTTGCTTTTTTTGGAATTGATTATATAACAAAAAATAATTTTTCCTCTATGGACTTCTCAAGTAGGGTTAGGACTATTGTAATTGTAATGAAAACAATAACAGTAACAATAACTATTGTTATTGTATTAACTTAATTTAGAAACAATAACAATACTTGTGATTTACAACTATTGTAATACTGTAATACAATAACAATAAATATTGTATTGCAATTCATCTATATAAAACAATAATATCTGAAAAAAAAAAGTATCGTAATGACCCACTACAATAACAATAAATATTGTATTGTAATTCGTCTTTATAATACAATAACAATATATTGTAATAAAAAAAATTATCAAAATTTAAATAAATGTTTTAACAGTCCAGTCTCTGAGATTAGTGACCTTGAAATAGGGTACAACTAATATACAAGTATTGGTTCTGTTTCTTTTTAATTTTATAAACTCTGTATAGCTCTATAAAAGTGAGTTTAATCGGACCTGTATTTCTTTTACTGCTGGGGATAGACATGGTTAATTACTACCATTTCTTCTACTAAGTTATTTGCTTTTACATTAGGCACCTATCCAATTGTTTCGAAACTTACTCAACTCAAACTTATAACAATATATTTCATTCTATTTCATAAAGTAACTGGACATCTAGTTGCAAAGTTATAAAAGAGTTTTGTTACATAAATCAAAAACAATATTTGTTTGGTGTTCTTAACTGCCTCATTTTTCAAAATGGAATCAACACAAAATTTACTGGTACGGTCTGATAGGTGATAAACAATCTGAAAATGTAAAAAAAATTTTAACAAAACAAAAGTAGTTCACATTTTTAGACAATCTAATCGATAATTACCCAGGTCAAATGTTCTTTGATTCCATAACGATGTAATTGATTACACATTAGCGGTTAGATATATTGAAAAAAAAAAGCGCTTAATGTAGTTAATCAATTAGTTTAGACGTCATCATCCTGTGAAACATGTCAATATCAGTTAAGACAAAATTATAAAAAAATATCAATTTTAACTTCTTAAAGAAAATAATTATTTAATTACAAGCATATGATAAACTATATATTTGTATGATTTTGAATGAATATTATTAATGTCAATTCTAAATAAATTATTATTTAAACAGTTGTATTATTGAACTCAAAATAAATAAAATTTATATATGTAAATGGTTGCTAGAAATGGGTGCCACGTGCGCCCCTGAACCAAATATTTATTAAGTATACGTAGTGTATATACTTCTTTGGCTTCCTTGGATTCACTTCACTTCTGAAAGTAAATAAAATTTATATATATAAATGACTGCTGAAAACGCGTCACGGGCACCCCTAAATTATCTAGTGCCCAAATAATAATAAATGCGTGAAAAAAGAGTCTAAATACTATAGCTATTCGACTTTGAAATAGTAATACAATACATATTTATATTTTCGTATAGTGCGTTACGGAGTGTGCATTTTCTCATGTGCAACTTCCGCAATAACAATTCTATTATGGTAGATAAAGATGCGAAATTTTCGCAAATTTTGTTTTTCTGCGAACAACCCTATCTAAAACATGAGTTAATTTACTTATTAGATTCAATTATGGAATTTTAATGTTTGTGGTCAGCTAAAAATTTGCGTAACGTTGTTTAAAAATTTTATTATCGCAATATTTACATGGTTAAAGTTTTTTTTTAATTTCAGTTACCTGATGTGTTGGTTGATTTTATTGTTAACTTTTTTAACCGGTGGTACCGTAGGTGGGTATTTAGAAAAATGTTCTACGAACTCGCACTCAACGAACGCAAACGATGAATGGTTTAAAATTGGTCAACTCTATTCTTATTGTATGCAAGTAAGTTTTTTAAGCTATAAAAAACAACTTTTTTTGATTAAAATTAACTTATCTATCCCTATAACATTTTTTATGAATCGAACTTATTTAAATCTTGAAGATCAAACTTTTGTTGCTTTGATCATGAAATTTATTTTGTTTAATCTTGTCGCTTTGTCTTGTCGGAAATTTAGACATTTCGGAAATTAAAACATGTAGGAAATTTAGAAAAAGCGGTATTACCCCCTTCCCCCACACATACCCATTATATGAAATTTAAAATTAAAGGTTGCATCAACTGTGGGCTGCACCAGCTGTGTTTGATTTAATACTTATAACAAGTATTAAATTTTTGATAAATTTTTTGATCAGTAACTAGCATTACTTTAAGTAGAATTTTCTATCCAATAATAATTATAATTATGCTAATATATGTAAAGAGTATAAAACAATTAACACGAACATCAATGCAAAATAAATGTGTAATAAATAAAGTTTATTGTTCGTGTTTCTTAAAACTTTAATAACTTAACATCTTATTAAGCTTCGTTTAATCTAAAAAGAACGGAGTCGTCCATTCAAGAAGATATGGAAGCAAAGCCAGCGCGAAGGGTATGTGTGGGGTGTATGATACCTCCTCTTCATCCTTCAATGAATTTTTATACCATTAGTTGGCAAATTGGGAACTTTTTTTACCTTCAGTCGGAAAATGAAAGCCTTTTTTAAATTCAGATTTGGATTATCTTTTTTTAGTCTATTCCAGAGTTGTTAACAAGGTTAAAAGTAGCAAAGCCTTAATTTTTGGTCTTAAGGCAAGGCCGAGGCCAAGGCCAAGGGCTAACTCTAAGGCTATCTCTAGTCTAATCTAGTATAACTTTTTTTCAAAAAAAACCTTCTACTATATGACAAATTGCCTATATAATACAGTCTTCTACTATATGACAAATTGCCTATATAATAAACCTATCAGAAAATAGTTGGTTTTGTTTTCATTTGTTTTATTTCAAGCCAAATTTTGACTTTTTTATATAACGAAAACATCTCTACAATAATACACATAATTTTGGTTCTTCAACCAAAACGCGCATACACTAAAATGAGAAACTGTGTTAAAACTGTATTAAAAAGCCAAAATATAAATAATTATAGTATCTAATTTTTATATATACAAACAGAGGCGATTTTACGGGGGTGCGAAGAGGGTGTTACACCCCTCGCCTCTCCCCCGAAGAATGTGGTTTTTAGTTGACTAGTCGGTTAAATTTTCGTTTTGGGGACCTTTTTTTTTTTTAAGAAGCCAGTCGATATTTTTTGAGGATTCACCCCCTCCCCCTCTCTCATTTTATTCGTAGAATCGCCTCTGAATGCAAAATGTTTTTATTTTATTATTACGTTATTAACAAAAACAAAACTTCAGACTTTGTTTTTGAAACTATTTAAATATTAAAAATATTCAGTATTAAATTATGAAATTTAAATATTACAAGATCGATTCTGATTAAGGTTCATTGTTTCATCATAAAACTTTTTCTAGATATTTTGACTGCATAAATCAATCTAGCTTATTAAAGTTTTCTAATCAGATCCTTTTGTAAATTTCTCAGAGAATAAACCAATTAGCGGTTATAATGCCTCAGATAACAGGTAAGGAGTCTTCCACAAATTACGTAATGCAATCTTTGACCGTTTTAGTCCCCTCCTCTCCTCACCTCCCTCGTCACAACATTGTAACTCTTTAGTAACAAGTTCCGTATGGGTCATCACAAAACCACTAACCCCCTCTCCCTTTCTAAAGCGTGGCGTAATTTATGGACGATCCCTAAGCTAAAGATAATAAGGTTTAAAATGCAGACCAGATATCATATTCAGAACATGTGCAATTACATTGACAAGGAGTGTTACATTGACTAATTTAGGGAAAACATGCAAACGAGTGTTGCAAACCATCGACTGATGGTTTGGATTGGAGCAGGTGTAAATCAGTAATGTAGTAGCATTCCTTTACATTTTCTCTGTCATTATGATATTTAGCCTGAGTTTTTTTTAAACTCAAAACCTTATTTTGAACTACTCTTTTGCTCACCAAGACATCCCATGTTTTATGTGCAAACCGTGTTTCAAGAGTTTATAAATAGTTGGAAAAATCACATATCAAGAATACTTTTTGAGTATAAGAGCTGTAGCTTTGTAGCAATACTGGCCAAATCTTTCAGAGTTCAACTTGTTAATGGAGCATACTGATCTTAGCATTGTCTTCAATTAAATAGTTACATCTATCATATTATATCAAAAATCTCAGCTTTTTATTTGCCTTTTTAATCAGTATTCCCATTATTAGTGTTTGTAAAACTCTGCTTTCACATGTTTTAACTTTGAACCTCTGTTGAGCATTTTTCTTTCTCTTTTAATCTGATGCTTTTTTTAGTTTGTGATTTTTCAAAATATGTTTTCATGTCAATCTAGTAAGCCAAATGTAAAACGTACTCAAAAGATCAGAGTCAGTCATGCAGATAAGAAAACCCCAAAGCCAAAGCTCATTAACTAATTTAGATCTGTTATTTGCCAGATTATTATATTCACTGGACTTGGCTCCACAAATATAAAGGAGAGGGTATATTGTCTTGTACAGATTTCCTGTTTATACACACTTTGTCTGGAGGTAATATCAAAACTTCTTAAAAGTGAAGTAATTCTTTGAACACTACCTCACTATTATACAATCTAGTTATTTTTATAAAATAACTTATTATCATACTCTTTAGAGGAGTTGAAACAGATGTTACCGTCAAAATGGCACTCTCAGGATAACATTTCTGTTTATTATTCTAAATTTCATAAAGTGAAGAATAAATATTTGCATTCTGTATTATGGATGAGTTTCAATTATTTTAATTCCTATTAGAAAGATCACACTAAACTCTTAATCTCAAGAAATTTTCTAACATTGTCACAGTTTGCAGCATTTTTCATGAGAACAAAAAAGTCTTTCTTCGTAGAATCTCCAAATGCTTATCTTATTAAAGCCAATGCTTCAACAGGATGTTGAAAGTGTCATTTTTTGTTATTCTCCACGATATCTAATCTTTTTTGTTGATTAGATATCGTGGAGATTAGAGTAATTGGTTTGGTTTCAATTGATTTATTATTATCATAGATCTTCTGGTTCTCTCACTTAGATTTTCCTCGTCTTTGTTTTTTTTTACATAAGCTTGCTGCGACATCATTTTTAATTTAACTATGATTTCTTTATTCAACCAGGTTTGCCTACGTTCCAAAAGTATTAATAATGTTTATAGATGTTTCAACAATTAAGATTTTATTTTAAATTTTAAAACTGTTAGAATTTACTTGAGATTCATAATTTCAAGTTTATCAATATTTTTAAAGACTAGACCCTCCAATCTAACAAATTCAAGTTGGAAACTCTCAAAATCATCAATAAATCATGATTAATTTTTAACTCTTCAACGGTATAAACTAATTGAAGAATGTAAACAATGAAAATATTATTTGTTATTTTATATGTGAGATCGAGTTAAATTAAAACATTTAATTCAGGCAGTAGGCCATCAAACTATGTGTGTTTTGGTTTTGAGGTTTGTTAATTAGTAAAGTTTTAATAATTAGCACCATTTATTTAAATATGAGTTTTTGAAAGTTGGTTTTTGAGTTATGACAAATTATCCCCTGTAGGGTTATGGTAGTGTGAAAAATATTATACAAATAATACAAAGTTTTATGTTGAACATTTTTTAAAGGTTTTTATATTAATTAGTGCAAGCTTGGAAAAAGGATTTTGTTTTACTTTCATATATACCTATCAATAAAAAAAATGGTAAAATTACCCTGTAATCTTGTGAATTTTATTTGCATTTTAACTCATACTTAAACAAATAAGAAAAAACCAATTTGGGGCACATTTTCCATAATCTTAAACTGTGCAAAAACTACATTTTACATGTAAACAAATCCCAACATTATAGAAAAGGTACCAGGAATTCATTTTGGTTTTTGGTTGATTGAAAGTCTTGTTTAAACAGGTTTTTTAATTTAACTGTTGTCATAGTATTAAGCACAGATTGCTGTTTTTATCAAAATGGCTTTTTACTGATGAAATGGTTGTTGAAGGCATATGAAGTAGAAAGATAACTGGAAGGAGTGTGCAACTAATTGAATTACTAAAAACAAACTGAGTAATTTGTTTCCTTTTTTATCACAGATTTCTTTGATTAAGAAGATGCAAAAAAAGGAATCAGTTACTTGGTTATGTTGTCAGCGCAATATTCCCAGTCAGAGGCGATTCTACAAATAAAATAATATTCCCAGTTTTAGATCAAGTGTAAAATAGGGTGAATTAAAAAACAGAATTTTTTTAAAATTGTTTTGTAATAGCTCTAAATATATGGAATATAATAAAAAATCACTGGATTAACAAAAAATTTTGAAAAGAAAAAATATTTTTAGAGGTGTCCCAAGTCCCTTAAACATTTATAGGGCCCCTAATATTCTGGGAAAAAAATTCTTCAAAAGTACTGGTACTCAAAAGAAGTGAAATTTTATAAAAAGTTCAAAAATAATAATTGTTTTATAAAAAATATTATCGAAAAACTTGTAAAAATGCACTTTTATTATTTTTAGTTAAAAAAAACCATAGTTATTATGCAAGAAAATTCAAAATAATAATTTTTACATGAAACAAATATTATTTTGAACTTTTCATAGAATGTTTCATTGACATAAGGGCTCCAATTTAGCCAAATGTGTAAACAAAAAGTAAGACCTTACTCTATAAAGTTAGTTTTCACTCCTCCATTAATAGATGCTCTTTAATGAGCTCTTACAACTTATAAATTATTATTATTTATTTTTATTTCAGTTAATAGTTCAACATAAAAAAATAATCTTATAAAAAAATTATTTATATTTTTTCATATTTTATTTTTCAAGTTTTAATGCCACATTTTTTTCCATGAAAAAAAAAGCTTTTAAATTTGTAGTCTTTTAAAGTTTTTATATTTTTCTACTCACAGTCATTTTATTTTTTAGAATTTATAATTATATTATTTTTTATTATTTATAATTTTTGTTATTTATAATACCTTTTTTTCTGTTTTTTTTGTTCAATCAAACTGCTTTTTTTAAAAAACACCTTTTAAAACTCAAGTTAAAATTTCCTTTTTTTTCCTATTTTTAAATTTTTAAAACAACAGTTCAGCTTTTGGAAAACTTTATTATAATGTTAAATTAAATTTTGAATTTACCAACAGTTTTAGATTTTATGTTTATTTATTATTCAAGTTATTGTCAAAATTGTTCAACCCTATTTTTTTATAGTAATTATGGAGAAATAAAATAATTTGTTAATTTGTAAAAAATAAACAAACTTAAATAATTTATTTTTTATAGGGCATCAATCAAAATAATGAATTTGATTATAATTGTTCAAACACCTCCTGCAAACAGGTATTTAATGCAAACATGTATTTAATGTATTTTTAGAAATATTTTTATTTAGGTTTTATAGGACCAACTGCTTAAAACATTTAGATTTTGCTAAAAATTAAAATAAAAGTTGCTAAAGATGTTTCATATTTAAAAATTTTTATGTCTTATGTTAAAAAAATAATAATATATTTCATTTGTGTGGTTTATGAGAAATAAAAAATTTTTGAATTCAAAAAACGTTAACTACTGTAAATTTTATATTGATGACATTTTTGCTTAAAACTTATTGTAACGTTATCTTATTTAGTTATGACAATTACACTAACTATTTTTTTTTTTTAATTTTTCATAAAAGTATGTGTTCTTTTTCGACAACTTCAAAGATTTTGTTTCTTTTCAACTTGCTTAACATCTCTCACCTACGCCTTTCAATAATTTCTAGAACTTAAAGGTTTTATATGGAGTTTAGTCATTATACAGTATTTAGTACCTAAAATGATTCCAGAAATATAAGAAGGAAGAGGGGGGAACAGAATTTCTTCAAACTAAAATGCTTTTTTTTTTTTTCTTTCGAAAAAAAAAAGTTTTCAGTACTATATATTTTACAACTGAAATGTGTTAAATGTTGTCTAGCCAACTATATTTTATAAAAAAACCAATTATATTTTGTAAACAGCCTTATT